CAGTAAATTCAAACGATCCCGTTCTGATTGAATTGACATGATTTGTAATTTTAACTCATCTATAGAATATTTTACAGCACCAATGTTTTGTTTAACAAACATTACGCCAAATCGTTTCAAGCCTCGTCAAATGCAAAATAATGATCAGGACATGTTAAGTTGATAGAACAAATATACCGAAGGATGCTTTGTAAGCCTGCATCTTTTTCAATAGTTAATATAAAATATGTAACAGATTGCGAATAATTGTTTCGATAAGCTACTAGAAAAAGTGGAGCAAAAGCATAAAGGTTTTGAAATTGAAGATCATAATGTCCATATCTAATCCCAGTTTTATGTTCAAGCCAAAAGCCAGTCTAACAAAAAAATAAATACCTACTTTTAAAAGATCACAATTACTATTTAAAATATCTTTCATTGTAAGATTTTTATCTTGTGTACATTGATTCAAAGCTACACTAACTATTATCCATAGATGTTCTAATACTCGACATGTAGCTGAATAATCAATGAATTTTCCAATTTGTTCAGGTATGAAATGCCAAGATGCGCAGCCAAATCATAAATGCCATATCCAGAAAAAATTGTTAAAAGAGTAACACACATAGTTTTTGAAGTATGCCAAGCACCTAATAATAGTCGAATATTTATTTCATTTAATGAATTTAATCTTCTAAAGATCGCCTCATCACATGCTACCTCCAAATTTTCAATTCCATCAATTCCAACATCATCAAAATACATTCTTACAGCAGCATGTATATTTTCTGTATTATTTGGATTATTTCCAGGCTCTAATATAACTACATTTGGTGGTTCAATTTGACATCCACTTTTTAAATCTTTCTATAATTCTTTATGAACATCTTGAATATCAAAATCCTTTCTATGTAAATTCAAAAGTAAACGAAAAGTATTTTCAAAATTTTGTAATTCGTTTTTTATAAATGGTATATACCAACATGAAAATGATAATTGATTATAGGTTCAGATTCTGTCATGATTTTTGATAATGTATGTGGCAATCGAAATTGGAAAACCATTCTCAATGTTGCATACATTGTATGTCTTGTAGCGTCAAAAATATTGTCATATGCAAAGGTTTCTTCACGAAAGTCTATGTTATCGATTACACATAAATTCCATACATTTTCACCCCTTATTAACCTTTCTTATATATTAGATTCATTGGCCCTTTTTTTTGCTAACCTTCGTTCATGTCGTTGAGTATGTGAGACCACATTAGCCATACAAAGAATGGCATAAAGAGATGCTTGTAATTTTGGCTTTCTATATATAGAGCTCATTATATAATTCAACCAAAAATGAACACCAGGAAAAGAAATAGTAAGTATAATAGATATTAAAAAGATTGAAATTTTTTCTGCACATAATATATTAAAATCTTTTAATTACAATTCTCTTTATTTACGTTTTTTTTGAATCACCTCCCATTTTTTTTTTGAAGTAAAATTATAAGACCATCAAAAAAATTACAAATGCAAATAGGAAATCCATTATAATATTGTTCTAAACACTGTGGTTCTTCTAACGCCTTTTTGTTTTTTCGTATATCTGATTGTGATTGCTAAATAACTATTCCAAATGCTTCTCCAAGTTCTTTTGATTGTTTTTTAAAAAGGTTACAAAACCTGTTTGTATCTTTCATCTTATTCAAATTTACTTTATTCAATCTAAAAGCAATTTTTATTGCTAAAAAACTTGGAAGTTTGGGATTTGATAAAGAATTTAACTCTTGTTGCTGTTGTTCACTATCAGTACATTCAGATGAATGAGTAGGAAGAATGGGTGGATTTTTCAGTGGAATTGAATCTAAAGATAATAGTTGTGCTTTTTTTTTGAAGAAATTAACGAATAATAAGGAAAGTTCTTCAAGAAGCAAATCCTTAATTATTTGATCTGAAGATATTGCAACATCCTGAATCCAACGTCCTAGAAGATCAAGGGACATATTATTATCTTCAATGTGTTTATCAATACAAGAAAAGTTAAGTTTGTTTCCTCTCCATTTTCTTTGATAATAGTGACTTCCTTCCGATTCAAAACAAGATGAACATATATATCGCGCACGCATTGTACTTGATGAATGACTGACAAGTATATTTTCTTTAAAAATAGAACATATATTTATTCCACAGCATGGTACATGAACATTTCGTTCTAGAACTTTCCAAGAATGTTGTTTGCAGCCTCCTCCTCTACTAAAAAAGTATTTGTCATTATGACAAAATAAACAATGTCTTTTATAGATCCAGGACCTTTCTGTGGATGTAGAATTTTTTAAGCCATGTGTATATAATTTATTTTGATCAAAATTGAAGTGGCTTGAGCATTCACCTAACAAATTTGATGCTTCTAGTCGATTTACTTTAACGATCTCATCAACTGAATTAAAGTCTAATTCCCATATTCTAATAAGTTGTCGAAGTAGACGAAATATTTTATTTGAACAACATACTAATTTACTATCTATAATATCCACAATTACACATTTACCATCAGATTTACTAGCATTTTCTTCCTTTACTTCATAATCAATATCTTCATTATCATCTGTTGTTGAAGTCCATAAAGAATCTACTTCAGATTGAATGTCAAAATCAGATCCCAACCAGTCTACATGATTCTCATTCTCTTTAAATTTGCTTGATTTTAATTCTATATATTCTTTAACATTCTTTAGTGATTCTTCGTTAAAATCAAGATCATAGTCATATTGGTCAGTTTCAACT